CATGAGGAACAAACAGTTGTTGCAATCTTTGATGATTGATCTATGATCAATTAAAATTTTAATAAATGCTTAATTTATGAATAAATTAAGTGTAAAATAAAACGTGCAAAAATGTATAAATAAAACAATTATCCTATTACTAATTTAATTTTTGCTTATTTTTCACTCTTCTTTAATTTCTTCTTCCTTTAGCAATTCATAAACTTTTCAATGTATAATTTCGAAAATTTAAAAATTATCAAAAAATTGCATTTAGCATATTTTAAAACAAAAATTGTTAGATTGGATTTTTAAAGAAAAAAAAAGAGAAAAAAGCAAAAGAACCATAAATATATTATAAGATTAAGAAGATATATTAACAAATAAGCTCATTTTGACATGATTTAATTTAGTAAAATTTTAAAATATCGAAAAAAAAATGAAATTGTTCAAATCGATAGAATTATTCATACGAAATATTTAAATAATTGAAAAAATTTCATAAAATAAACATTGCGGATTTTGAAATCATTTGAATTTTAGGATATTCAAGCAGAAAAATAAAAATATTAACACAAACCATAATTCATTAAGAAAAAAATGCAAATTTGCATAGAAAAAATGATGGTATAATACTGAAGGGAAGTAATAAAATAATTGCATTAAATTTGAACTAATTAGTTTTTGAGAGTAATATTCGATCATTTTTATATGCTTACAGAAAATAGTTTCATTATTGTTGTGGAAAACTTTAATCATGCTGAAAAAATTTCACCAAAATTTCGCTTATTTATGATAGAAAATTTTTAATCATTTCCAATTTAAAACAAGATTATTTGTTAGCGTTTAATTATTATAATACTCTATATCTAAAGTAACGATATTTGTTCAATTCCATACTAAAATACTTAATTACAAATACTCTCGCGTAACATCATTACATATTAAATATTTCATCAATAACGAAATTATCATTATTGATTTGAAAAAAACAATAATTATTGTTGATTGATGTCCTTCAATTAGCTACATCCCTAATTATGCTAATCATGGTAAGTTAATGAACTATACATTAGTTAATAAGTTAATTAATTTTAAAATTATTCATCTTTTCTTTGAATATATTTGTATTAAAAAAACAGCTAAGTATTTAGAAAAAAAAAATTGAAACTACTGGAGAAAATTAATAGTGAAGGATGAAGCGATATGAAATTTCAAGCTTTTTTCAAAAATAAACAGTTTATCATTTTCCAGCTGTTTTGCAAATTTCATTATTTTCTCTATCCGATAAATTCGATACGAATGAAAGATTAAATCAACAAAA